AAGGGGGAGATTGAGATTCAGTCAGGGGCAGTGTGTGGCCAAGAACAGGCTTAAATGTGGACAGAATGACCTCAGCATGGTGGGGTCCTCAGTGGGTCGCCAGCACTGGACCCTGCCAGGCGCCTGCCAGATGTGTATCACTGTGATCTTGTTGTCGCTTGCTCTCGGGTTTGCAGCCAACACCAATTTCTAAGGGAAAATCTTGGACAAGGTCAGGTAGCGTGAAGGTTTGCCATGCACACAGCCACAGACTCTAAGGAACTACAGTTCTCCTGCTGGGAAGAGCAGGCCTCAGAGTCCCCGAGGGTCCCAGGCTGGTGGAGTCACCAGGAGGACTGGACTGGAGGAAGAGAGACAATGAAGGTGAACTATAGCTCCAAGACTTTGAGACCTCAACAAGGAGTTAGGGGAGATTCCCAAGGACAGTTCTTAACCTCCTCAGGGTGTCCATGACTCTTTCTCTCATATGCACACACAGACACAGATGGAGATGTAAATAGATATACACAGAGAGAGAAATACACACACACACACACACACACACACACACACACACACACACATGCTCGTGCATAGATACAAGCACACTGACACACACACATAGAGATAGAAACACACACAAAGATACACATAGGAACAAGGGCACACCCAGATGGAGAAGCACATGGGAATACTCACACATCCACAGATGGAGACAGACGCACACAAGAACATTCCACACCAATGGAGCCGCGCACACAAGCACAGAGATTCATATGGACACCCAGACCCGTATCGGAGGCCTTCAAGGAGAAATTATGGGGAGAAGCTAGGGAGAAGGAGAGGCAGAGAAGACGTGAGGAGAGGGAGGGAGTGGAGGAGGAGAAAGGAGAGGGGGAAGTAGGGAAGAGAAGAACTCAGAGCTCAAAGGGGCCACACAGGACAGCCCACCCAGGTCTCCCAGGGCATAGCGGGTATGGATACAACCCTGCCCTCCCTCTGCTTGTTATTTCAAAGGACTACATCCTTCAGATCACTCCCACTTGGCAGTTCCTAATTTATGTCCGTGAAGGTGTTGGATAGGATAATTCCACCATGGGGACCAGAGGAGACCACTAGGGCTAAAATGACCCGGTGGGGTACAATGGGACCAAGTTGTAAAGCATGCCAGGGAGGGATAAGAACACTCCGGAGAGGGCCTCTCTGGGGCCCCTGAACCAAGTGCCTGTAACCCTGCCTGGAGGCTGGGAGTGCTGGCAGGCCTCGGCAGCAGCCGGCCAGCCTGATTTCCCTGGGCCGCAGACAGCCTGGCTCCAGGCCCACCTCCCGGTGCCCTGGGCCTGACATCTTCTGGGCAGAGCCACGGTGCCCCAGGAGCCATGTGGATGGTGTTAGTAAACACGCTTTCTTGCGCCCAGCCTGGCAAGGCCTGTGGGCAGCGGGAGGGCGTAGAGCTGGCAGCTCCCACGGCTGGGCAGGAGGATGGGAGGGCGGACAGGGCAGGCAGACGGGCGGGCAGGCCGCCCTGCACAGCCAAGCCAAGGCCCAGAATGGAGCAGCTGCTCCTGTCACCATGGAGACGGAACTGAACAATGAGCAGCCAGAAATGCAGCATGGCTGCCTGGCACTGTGGCCACACTCCCACCAGGCCCTCACACCTACACACAGGAGCTCATGCACTCACACTCGTGTATGCACGCACGCGTGCATGCATGGATGTGCACGTGGGTGCACACGCTCCACACAGAGTTGCAGGAAGGAGAAGGAAATGGAGACACAGGGTAAGGACAGAAGTGTCCACAGGGAAGGAAGGAGAGTGTGAGTTGGGGAGCTAAGGAGATCACAGCTTCAGGGTTGCAAAGTTGAGCAAAAAAAAAAAAAAAAATCTCACCCTTTGATTTTGGCTAAAAATACCTTTTAAAAAAAGCTTTGCAAAGGGTCATGTGGTGCCCTGGATTCTTGTGTAACAGGAGAGCTGAAGGGGTTCTAATTAGCAAAAGGCATCTTGAGTCAAACTATCTTTTCCTCAGACAGGAGTTGCTGAGAGAGCTCCGCGAAGCTGTTAGTCCCCGGAAACGAGGATACATTTTAAAAATGGGCCTAAATCCCATGAGATTCCTCTCTGTGAGACGATGCAGAAGGAGGCTGACCAGCTCAGCCATAGGCTGGAGATAAGCCTGAGAAAGACCCCTGTCCAAGCCCTTCAAGAAAGAGTAGGCAGTGGTAATCCAGAGTCCTTCCAGGGCGGGGAAGGTGGGTGGGCAGGCATCGGCTCGCCTTGCTCATGGATACTTTCCATGCACCTACTTTATGCAAGTTCTTCTTCCGAGGACTGGTGAAGTCCTGTCCCCAGGAACTTCCGGATCTCCAGTAAGTACTGGCTCCTGCCACTCAGAAGAGCAAGCAGAAGGTTATACCAACACTGGGGAAACAGAGGCAAGACGGTTGCCATGAGTTCAAGCACGGTTTGGGTTACAAAGTGAGACCTTGTCTCAAAAAGCATAAAAGAAGGCAAAGAAAGGAAAGAAGGGGAGAGGGGAGGGGGGAGGGGATAGGGAGGAGGGGAGGGGGAGGGGAGCAAGCAGACATGAATGAAGACTCCCTATTTCCACCAGCAGCATCTACAATGGGAACCAGGTCTCCTCTCCTCAGCACCTCTGTCCATGTTTCATCATCACCTTAACCTCCCAGCAGGCTACTTGATTTTCCTGGGCTTTGCCTGTTTCTCTTCTTCCTTCCAAGCAGGTGAGGGTCCCAGGAAGATGGGTATCCGGAAAGGATTCCTTCAGGGGAAAATGAAGAACACTCAGCAGTGGACCTGGGGCCGGTGGTGTCTACACCAACCTCCAGTTCAGAAAGAACGAACTCTCAGGAAGTCATGCTGCCACCAAGGTGGAAAACCCAGGACATCCACAGACGAGCGGTTCCTGGGCCTAGGGCAGAGGACAGGCAGACAGTGGGGATGTGAGGGACTGATCATTTTTCTGGGCAGAGAGTTTTAAAGGAGAATAGAAGCCGGGCGGTGGTGGCGCCCGCCTTTAATCCCAGCACTCGGGAGGCAGAGGCAGGCAGGTCTCTGTGAGTTCAAGGCCAGCCTGGTCTACAAGAGTGAGTTCCAGGACAGCCAGAGCTACACAGATAAACCTTGTCTCAGAAAGAGAGGGGGAGGGGGAGGGGCTGGAGAGATGGCTCAGCGGTTAAGAGCACTGGCAGTTCTAGAGGTCCTGAGTTCAATTCCCAGCAACCACATGGTTCACAACCATCTGTAATGAGATCTGGCATGCAGGCAGAACACTGTATACATAATAAATAAATCTTTAAAAAAGAGAGAGAGAATCGAGAGGGCACACAAAAGGAACGGAGCACACTGGGAACAAGGGAAGGCTTGGAAAGGAAGACTAGGTAGGAAAAGGAGCCTATGGCCATGAATCCAGAAAACTGATTGGGGATTAGCAGGTTCTAAGCATCCCCAGAGAGGAAGCACAGCACACAGCATGACCTGCCTCCCAGCATCCACTCCAAGAGGCATCATGACAGATGAACAGCAGGAGACATCAGAAACACAGTAGGCTGGAGCCAGGCCCCTTCCCCAACACCCTGCATCCCCTCCCCTGTCAGGATCCATCCGTTCTAGAAGATTCTCGAGCTCAGGGGAGCCATCTGCACTGGCCCAAACATGGCAAAGGAGGACTTAAAACGTGAAAGGAAGGATCAGTGAGAGAGACCTGCTCCCCCTCAGGAACTGCTTTAGTAGATGAAAAAAAAAAAAGTCAGACAATTTTTAATCATCACAAATTGTTTAAACTTCTGATCCCATCTCCTTTCGAAGCCTGGGCAGCCTCCACTCTGGCTGGGACTCAGCCTCTGCCCAAGCTTAGCCCAGCTGGGACACCTTGATCCACCTACCCCCAACACTCACAAACAATTCCTGGACCCTTCTTTAGGTCCTCCCAGGGTCTCTGTAAGGCCAGGCCAGCAGGACCCTGCTTATCTAAGGAGATCTGACAAGCAGCCCTGGGGGTATGGCTGCTAGCTAAACATATGGTACATCGTAAATAGGACTTCCTTTTAGGAAATGAGCTGCTGTAATTAAATCCCCATTCATTTTTTTTGTAACATACACACAGAGACAAATAGATCTTTATCCTTTGGAGGCTCCGAAGAGAAAAGGCTTGTGGGGCGCTGAGATTCTCAAGTGTGACTTTTATAAAAGACTGCCTAGAGCCAGGTGGGATAAGCAGTCCAATCCCTTTCTTTTTTTTCTTTTCTTTTCTTTTTTTGAGAGAGAGAGACAGACAGACAGACAGACATCATTTCTCTCTGTAAGCCTGGCTGTCCTAGAACTCACTTTGTAGACCAGGTTGGCCTCGAACTCACAGAGATCTGCCTGTCTCTGCCTCCCAAGTCCTGGGGTCAAAGGCGTGCGCCACCACTGGCCAGCTAGAAGTCCAAATTCTTAAGCCAGACCTAGTGGGTGAGTGGGTGAGTGGATCTGGGTGAGTGAGTGGGTGAAGGAGCAGCTCTTCCCCAAGAGGAAATGGAGACGCAATCAAAGAGGAAAGCTCGTATTGGCCTTGGCTTTGGGCCAAGGAAGGAATTGATTCTTCCCACTCCACATCAACAGTGCAAACTCCAGGGTATCACGAACATTAGACGTTATTTCCACTAGGATAAAGTGGACTGGGGTCAACCCCAGTGAATCCCCGCTGTGAGCTGGATACTAGGCTAGGCGCTATACTGGGACACCGGAGTGGGCAGAATCTGAGGAATGCCTGGTCGTGAACGCTGAGCAGCTAGCTGGGGCCCATGGCTGTATTGCCACATGGGGGTGTGGGGAGGGCGTCTGGGACTGCCAGGACCATTAAGCTTGAGGAAGCAGTGGGTGATCCTGATGTGACTGTAGTAGGAGTTCATTCCGAGGAGAAGGAATGGTGTCGGATGCCGAAGGAAGCTGGGTGCTGAGGTTCAGCTGGGATCAGGCACCAGAGACCCGGATGCAGAAAACAGGCGTGACTCTCGTCTTTGGTAATCGGCAAGACCCAGTCTATGAACGTTTATTGCATAAAACCATTAAGCAGCTGCCATCACCAGATGACCACAGAGGCAAGACAAAAAAATCAGGCAACTCGAAGTTCAATCCAGCTGAACAGAATGTCGTAGGCACTGGGTTAAGTACAATGTGGGTCTTGGAGGTAAGGAGATTTGCAAACCCTCCAGACTACAACTACCAGGGGCCCTTTTTTCCCTAGTCACCCTTAAAATCAGTGGGAAGGGAATACAAATGTTGGGAGGTGGGCTAGGTTCCCTCCTAATTCAGATCTCTATCAACACAGAACACACTGTCCACAGTCCCTCGCCACGCCCCCGACAAACATATACACTGTCCACAGTCCTCCCCCCCCCCCCACATACACAGTAGCTCCCCACACAGACACACACTCCAGCTTGGGTTGGTTTTTACCCCCAAGAAGGTAAAAACCCAAATACCAAGGCCTCATACATGATAGAAAGGGATGGGGCTGTGGAGATGGTTCAGTGGTAAGAGTTCAAATCTCCATTCATAAAAAGCTGGATGTGACCTCGAACATACTTACAGGTCCCAGGCTATAGAGGGCAGAAAGGAAAGGATGGCTGGGGTTTGTTGATCGGTGTCCAGGCTAGCTCCAAGTTGAGAAAGAACAAAGGAAAAAGATAAAGGGAAAGAGAGAAAAGCACCCGACCTCTCCTGGCCTCCAAACGCGTGTGCATGGTATGAGCACCTGAACAAGAACACTCGCACACCATCTGTAACAGGGCGAGACGGTGCAGAGGTTCCTCCATCTTGGATTCTTGCTGAGGCCATTTCAGGTTTAATTAGAATTTCATCCTCTTGATGGTGCATCCCGTGGAAAATTACCCAACTCTATTTTAGGAACCTGAAGTCAGGACACCCCAGGTAACTTACCTTACCTTCTATTAAGTTGCCTGTTTCTACAAACCTACCCCTGGAGCTACCAAATGACATACCAGGATGTGGGTTTTCCCTTTTCAAACCCCTTACCCATGCCGGGTGGTGATGGCACATACCTTTAATCTCAGCACTCAGGAGGCAGAGGCAGGTGGGTCTCTGTGAGTTTGAAGTCAGCCTGGTCTACAGAGTGAAATCTAGGACAGCCAGGGCTGTTCTATAGAGAAACTCTGTCTCAAAACAAAACCAAAAAACCTTTACCCCCAACACTCAATATATGCTTGGGTCAGGAATACCTGAGTGTAGCCCCAGCCAGCTGGAATAAAGACTTTCCCTTGGCTATAAACTGTCTGAATGGTCATTTCTGGTAGGCCCCATAACACACGCACATGCAAAACAGACAGACAGACAGACAGACAGATACACACACACACACACACACACACACACACACACACACACACACACACACACAGAGCGAAAGGCCATTGGGAAAGGACACCAGACTGCTAATTGGACTAATATGTCCCCTTATGGGGACCAATGAAAGTCATTCTGGTACAAGACCTCTGACTGGGCCATATTAAAGTCCTGACTCCAAAGCCTTTTCACCCTGCATCTTTACTAAAATGGCTCGCCTTCCCATGCTCTCATTTCTCTTGTCTCTGCAACAGGAGCAATGGCAAGTCAGAGACCACCCCCCGCCCCATGTCTGTCTTAATGATCACGTGAACAGAAAGTCTGCAAAGCACTGAACACAGAGAAGGTCTCTGTCTCTGCTTACGGAAGCCTCCCAGAATCAGACAATCGAAAGACCTGAAGCACAAGGTCCATCCCAGCCTGAAATCCCACACCCTCCATTCCACCACACACCCAAGGAGTCTTCCCCTGAGTTTCCCGGGTCTCGGGGAGGGGACAGCCGAGCACCATAGCTGTGACTTTCCCTCCACACCCTGTCCAAGTTCTCTCAGCGCTCCCTATATCCCGCCATCACATCACACACGTCCAGGATGGCCACACGGGACGAAACCCACTCTCCACACCGTCATCAACAGCCCTGTGGTTCTCCCGGCACTGGGGATCTGGGAACCTGGGGACCTGATGTACTGAAGAGGAAGGAAGGAAAGGCCACAGTCACAGCTCTCATTTCTCACAGTTTCTCCACTCGCCTCCTCCCAAGGCTGGCTCGCTCCGGCGTCTTCTGTCCCCTCATCTAAAGAAGGAAGCAGAGGCCTGGGGCTTTGCCCAAAGTGGCAGACAGCTGCTCACAGGCTGTCTTGCTCCCTAACCTCATCATCTGCAGGTACAGCCTCACAGTTCACAAAGGGCGTGAAGAGTAGACTCAGTGGACCCATTTTATAGAGGACAAGCCAAGGCACAGATGAATTCTGCACATCAGAAACACATTGCCAGTGCGTGGCAGCGTGGTACGTGACAGCGTCATACGTGACAGTGTCGTGCGTGACAGCGTCGTGCGTGGCAGCGTCGCGCTCCATATTCTCCCCATTTCAAGTCTGAACAGTTGCTCTTATATTCACTCCGTTCTCCCTGTCACCTCTGAGAAGGTCACTGTCCCTGATGCTGCCTTTTGAGTAATATCTCGGTTCCAGTATCTACCTACCCACGGACAGCTTCTCTGTCCACAGGACCATTTTCATGGGGGAAGAAACCCAGTGTCTGTAAACGAACCCTCCTCCGGGGCACCTCATCACCCTTTCCATTGATTTTTTTTTTCCCCTGTTTTACACTGAGCAAAGCCCCAGTTTTCACATGCATAATTATGCTTTGCATCCACTTAGCACTCCCGAAGCTTCACAGCGCTCCCTCATCTATTATTACCTTGTGCTACGCTAACGAGTCCAAGAGATTGACAGTGACCCCACATCGCACAGAGGAAGGAAAAGCACACAGAAACGCCAGCCTGGTGCTGCCTGGGCGGAGAACTTGGGGACAGTTTCTGTCCTACACTCTGCAGTCTTTCTGTGGAGCCTTACTTCAAAGCAGGCATGACGGGCAGGGCCGGGGCATGGAGCTTAGTTGACAGAGTGCTTAGGTAGCACCCACAAAGCCCTGGGTTCAACCCTAAACACAATGAGCTGAGCGTGGTGGCCCTACCTGTAATCTCAGCACGGGAAGCAAAAGGCAAAGAAATTAATGGTTGGGGTCCTCAAGACGACTCAGTGCGCCAGGCGGTGGTGGCGCACGACTTTAATCCCAGCACTCGGGAGGCAGAGGCAGGTGGATCTCTGTGAGTTCGAGGCCAGCCTGGTCTATAGAGCTAGTTCCAGGACAGCCAGGGCTACACAGAGAAACCCTGTCTCGAAAAACCAACAATAACAACAAAAAGATGACCCAGTGAGAAACATTGCTTGTCACCAAGCCTGAGGGCCTAAGTTTGATCCCCTGAACTCATAACTCAAGTTGTCCTCTGACTTAGAAACACACACACACACACACACACACACACACTAAAACAAATGATTTTTTTTAAAAAAAGAAATCAATTTTTTTAAAGGTTATCTTTGACTACATTAAAGAGTTTGAGGCCAGCCTAGGCTACATGAGACCCGGTCTCAAAAAGAACAGTGAAATAGCAAGCATCATGAATCACTTTGCAGAAGTGCAGAAGGAATATCATTTTGAATTTGAGAAATGTCAAAACTGGCAGTTGAAAAAAAAATGCCAACCCGGAGTGACCAGGAGTCAGGAGCATTCTGATGTCTGCGTGCCCCTGACCCTGGGTGTGACCCTGTGCAGGTTGCTCCTCTCCAAGCTTCCCTTTGCTAACCTGCAGGATGATGGAGGAGGACCGCACACTCCAGAGCCATCCGGGAGCCCCTTCCGGCATGCAGACTCCGGATCCCATCTTTGGACTCCCTTGGTGGAGCAGTTTCCTTGATTTTCATGTGGAAAAGGTTTCGCAGAATGAGAATGCTAGAGCCAATCATTCTTGCCCGAGTCGTCTAGCTGTGGGTAAAAGTTATGGTGAAACTGGAATGCCTGGTAAATGATTAAAATGTGAGCAGACATTGTTCTGGCTTCCTTCATGATACAGTCATTTAATCCCAACACCGCTGTGTGAAACCTATTCCTGCTTGCGTGGGGGGAGGCCCATAGGTTTTTAATTCTTTGGGGGGAAACAAAGGCCCTCATTCACTCAACAGTAACTCAAGAGGGTGGTTTCTGCACTTACCAGTCAAAAAATGTTGTCTGGCCACGAGATCCCATCATCAAACTGAAGAGGTAGGAGAAAGCTCTCTTTACACTGGGTCCTTTTATGCACGGTAGAGCCTGCCTTTGCGTGTCCCTCCATATGAATAAGGTCTCAGGTTTATTTTATAGGGAAATGCACCAAGCCAAAGGTTTTAATGACAAGATAATGAGCAGGAGAGGACTCTGTTTTTTGTAGAGGGTTTGTGTTACAGAAAACAGAGCGAGCTCACCATTTGTTTCTGGGAGAAAGACTTGGCAGTTCCCTTCAGGCCTCTGCTGAAAAGTGACTTCACACATGCACAGGACAAATTTCTATCTAATTTACCAAAGTTCCCAGACAGTGAGTGCTCTCTCTATTCCCAGGAGAGTTCATGGAAGATGTGTAATCTGGGGCTCGATGATGTAATACAAATTTTTTTTTCATGGAAGACAAATAGGCCACCGCCACATAGCTCCTGAGACACACAAGATGGAATTTTAGCTGCATGTGGTCATGCGTGTCTGTAGTCCCTGCAAACAGAGAAGGATTTCCACAAGTGCTAAGCCAGCCTGGGCTCCATAGTTGAGTATCAGGTCAGGTGGGGCTACCTATAGCAAGACCCTGTCTCACTCAGGGGCTGGAAAGATGGTTCAGCGGCTAGAGTACTTCTCTTCAAAGTGTGAGGCCTGGAATTTGAATACCCAGAACCTATGTTCGCCCATCCGTGATTCAAAGTGGGGACGGGATCCTTAGAACAAGCTGACTAGCCAGAGTAGGGATATCAGTGAGGCTCTGGGATCAATTGAGAAAGCCTGTCTCAGTAAATAAGATGGAGGCATTCATGCCGTGGCACACATACACCTAAATGTGTATACACACACACACACACACACACACACACACACACACACACACACACGCCCAAACCTGTATGCACATGGAGGCACACGCTCACAAATAAATAAATACATAAACAAAGGTAGAAGGCTGTTTAAGGAAGATTCCAGACCTCAACTTGGGACCGCCACATGAATGCCCATATTCAAATAGACATGTGACCATGCACCACTACATAATTAAAATATTAAAAGATTGTTCCAGATCCTTCTAGGCTCACTTAAGTCTTAGAACATTCCTCCTCGAAGCTCCATCAGTGTGATTATTCCCTCCTTGGGAATCGTCTTTACCTCTTTCCAGGTTTTATCCTATTCTTCATTGTATGACATGTGCACTTGAACGACTTCCAGGCAAAATCGCAAGCCAACGGAGGGCTGCAGGAAGTTCCAAATATCTGAGCATGCTGGTCCCACCCTCTCTCCAGTCCCTAGCAAACTAATGGGCCCTAATCAAATAGGTTCCCCTAAAGAAGTGGATGAAGGGGCTGGAGAGATGGTTCAGAGGTTAAGAGCACTGACTGCTCTTCCAGAGGTCCTGAGTTCAATTCCCAGCACCCACATGGTGGCTCACAACCATCTGTAGTGAGATCTGGTGCCCTCTTCTGGCCTGCAGACATACATGTAGGCAGAACATTGTACACATAATAAATAAATCTTAAAAATAAAATTAAAAAAAAAAGTGGATGAGACTGGAAGCCTCTATGCCTTGTTATTTTCCATAAATAAAGAATACACAAGCCCCCCCCCTTTTTTCTCTCACATTTACATGGATTTCGGAGATCAAACTCGGGTCATCAGGTTGGCATAGCTGAGCAGCAATTGCCCTTTACCCTCCGAACTAGCTCGTAAACCTTCCACCAGAAATTTCTGCCGTGATGAATAATACAGCGGCCTCTGAGTGCCTGCCACAGCCTGTGAGACCAAGGGGATGGGTTTTACCCTTCTTCATTTTGGTTTGGAGATAGGGTCTTAGTTTCCTATAGCCCAGGCTGACCATATACTCACAAAAATCTGCCTGCTTCTGCCTCCCAAGATTAAAGGTATGTACTGCCACTACCAGGCAGAGTTGGAATTTTTATTGTGGTGAAATATGTATAACATAAAAAATTTACCAGCCAGGTGGTTGTGGCCCACACCTTTAATTCTAGCACTCTTGAGGCAGAGACAGGCAGATCTCTGTGAGTTCAAGGCCAGCCTCGTCTACAGAGCAAATTCCCGGACAGCCAGAGCTGTTACACAGAGAAACCCTACCTACCCTCCCCCAAATTACCATTTTAATCATTTTTAAAGATATTTTTATTTATTTTTATGCATGTGATTATTTTACTTGCATGTATATGTTTGAGTACAGTGCATATGGGAGCTTCACAAAGGCCTGAAGTTATCAGATCTCTTGATACTAGAGTTATAGATATAGAGATGGTTGGGAGCCATAATGTGTATTCTGGGAACCGAACAAAGGTCCTCTGTAAGAGCAGCAAATGCTTTTAACTCCTGAGTCATTTCTCTATCCTTCATTTTAACTTTTTGTTTGTTTGTTTGTTTGACTCAGAGTCTCACTTTGTAGCTCTATCTGACTAGGAACTCGCTAGGCACACTGTGCTGGCATCGAACTCATAAAGATCCACCTGCTTCTGCCTCTGGAGTCCTGGGATTAAAAGCGTGTGCCACCATACCCAGCTAATAATTTTTAAATGTTCAGGAGAAAGCCCTCACTCTACAGGGATCATTGATGTCTTCTCGTATTGTTCCCTGATTAGGGATTGGTTCTATTTTTACAATTCATGGCTTGCCCTCCCACGCTCACATTGACAGCATGGCACACACAAAGCATCCTGGTCAACTTGCTTCCAGTAGGATCAGATCACAGTGGAGGAGTGACCATTCTCCAGACTGACACAGCAAGGAGAGGTGGGAAACTGCTCTTCTCCAGAACATTGCTGAACTTTGATAAATGGCTGCTCTCCTGTCAAGCGACCGATTCAGCGCAGTGTGGCAGGTCTTCACGAAAGACACTCACCCAACATCTGGAAGACGGCAAGAATACCCCAAGCAGGTGATCGGGGAGTGCTGTGGAAGTCTTATCATTGCACCACAAGCAGAAATTGAAATGGCCAAAGGGTTCCCAAGACTTAGGACAACACACAGGGTGTGTGAATGGAGAGTAGTGAGAAGGCGCAACAGAGAAGACTGAAAACTTCAGATCATCTACTGGAGAGTACCAAGCAGCAAGATTCAAGTCAGTGCTCTCGAGGCAGATAGGAGGTCTTATTAGTAAGGGCAGGGGTACACATATGTAATCCCAGCACTTCCATGGT